ATATTAGAGCTATATGCTTTGCTATAATGAGCATATCTGCAGATCAGATTAATGAATTGAAGCAAATCAGTTTAATGAAGGAATACAGAGGGGAAAAAATACTTCTGAAAGCTCTTCTAATGTGATTATCGTGTAAAATAAATACATTCTCATTTGAAAGGTTTACATCTCAATACTTCTTCAAGAACCAGTGTAATCTGTTTTTCTTAATATGCTAAAGTTCCCCTTAATATCTGTATTCTTTGTCATTCTTTAATTCTGGTTCCCAAGGTTGCATCGATGTAATTACCTTGCAATAATAAAAATCCTCATTCGTTTCTACATTTTGCTGATCACAAAACAGAAGGTTATTCAGAACTCCCTTCTGCTTCTTTCAGGGCTTTCAGATTGAATAATTCTTATGCTTCTTGCATTTCATACAGGGGCCACATGCCAGAGTGGTACACAAAATCTTTTGGACATTTGTGTGCAGCCGAAGTTGTAAAGATCCGCGATTCCTTCACCAACCAGAGCACAGAGACCAAAGACAGCAAATCTAGGTGATCACTGAACAGAGCACCAGTCCACCCTCTGGGCATCTGTTTCTCGAGCCCTTGCCAGTCCTTGGATGAATGGTTTCTCCATCTGATCCTGAAACAGAAACTATAAATGAGATTGCAGAAATTGAGACCATAGCAATTTGATACATTTTTAAAGCTGCTTCCTGTTTGTTTATGGTCTACCCTGTAGACCTTGACTGGAATATATAAGATTGTGCAAATAAAGGAAAAGGAAAAAAGAACTTCTGAGCTTAATCAAATTGCTTCTGAGAAGCAAAACTCCTTAAAATGCATTATAGAAGGTAATGAAGATGCTTCCTTCTCTTGTGGTGTTGGTATATGTGTACCAGTGTCATTTATTTGCCGTGTGTTGAGGGACTTGGTGTATCCACTGGAATAGTTGGTACTCTGATGTGTTTTCTTACTAAGATGAGCAAAGAAAGGTTTGCACAGAGGAGTGTGTGAATGTGTGTTTGTTGCTGGTTGAATGGCATAGACGTGAAGGTTGGAATGCAGTGTCTGGCACACTGAAATGCCTCCAAGAAGGATATTGGTGCATCGGGTTTAATTGAATCTGGAACCTCTGGATCTACCCATGAATCCATCCAGAAAGGAGACCCAGTACCCTTGTTCATTTACTGTTTGTTTTGTTTCTGAGTTTAAAAAAAAGAAAGACAGCCTTTTCTTTCTTCACCTACCTTATGTCCTTTAGGCTAATTGTAGAAAACTTGCTCTCATAATCCGTTCCAGATGCAGCTGTGTTTAAAACCCAATTACACAGTGATGATAATAGTTCTTTACCAATCTAGATCCATTACCACCACCATCATCTTTATTTGTTCAAAAACACATCTTTTTTTAGATTGACTGTGAAAACTCAACATAAAATTTTTATATGTTAGAATGATTTGCCTTTTCTATGACCAAGGAAACTATATCTCCCAGGGAAATCTCTATCATTTTGTCCTTGTCACAGACGTTCTTTTTCTAATTTGTTAACTGCATATCCGAGAGCTGCACATGTTTATTAACTGAGTTTGTCCTTACTAGCAAATTAGTTTTCCAGTTTGAGGACCTTTTTTTGTAGTATTTCCTACATTTCTTTTCCTTTATAATGCCCTCGGAATATATGTTAGCAATCATGGTATAAATAGTATGCATAGTAAAAGAAGAAAAGCAGCACCATTCTATGTGAGGGTGGTCTTTATACAGGTTTTACTGTAATGGTAAAATGACTCGAAAGACAGTATTAATAAATTTATTTTGTATGGCTCAGAAGTGAGTTATGTATGAGTGAGAACTGTCAGAAGGATTTTTATTTTGTTATAATTTAGTTACCATTGTCAGTGTTATGTCCAAGGTTCTTTGAAGAATTTGTGCGGGGAGCAGATTAGAGTTTAAAAATTTGAGTATTTTGGATATCAGTGTTCCTCATGATGATAGACGTGTATATTCAATTTTAATTGCTTCCAGATTTGTAAGATTATATGCTGTATATACCATTCTATTAAAAAATGTGTACACATGTCCACTGTGCTTTCAGACTTAGATAAAGCATGATAAAGATTATTATTTAAAATATACTTGTATTTATACCTCAAATATTCTTTTGGGTTTTGTACCTCAAGACTTTTTTTTTCTATTGTAAATACACTTTACATGAATACAGTTTAATTGAAAAGAAATAAAAAGGAATAAGTTTATAACTTGCTCTATATCTGTACAGACTATAATCAGTAAATGCACTATTAAATGTTTAAAATAAAGGAATAGCCTGGCCTTCATTCCTTTATGTTTAATCTCGCTCCCACCCTCCAAACCACAGATTGCAGAGTATATCATTCTAGTGTCAGCCAAAACCAAAATATCAATTTATTGAAGGGGAAAATGGGCTGCAAATTGTTCCAAAGGCCAGACTGCGACTGAGCCACTCACTAACAAACAGGAAACCCCGGTGAAGGCTCAGGAAGCAGGGAGGTCCTCTGCAAACAAAGTCCAGTGAGGAAATGCAGCTGAGAAAGTTACAAGAAAAACAGCAGAAAATGCTCATAAAGAAAACCAAGGCCACAGATTAATCCCACCAAAGGTCGCTTCCCCCCTGTTCAGCTTTCCTGTTGAAAGAATTCCTTACATATTTGACGAGAGGAGAATTCAGATGATGTGAGCATTTTCAAGAGTTCTGCTTAAGTCACCCAGCAGTAATTGCCACAGTTGACTCTTGTGATGAATTGTCCAGATTGTAAGCTCCTTGAGGGCAGGACTCACCTTCACATCCTTATATTCCCCTCCAGCAGTTTTCAGTGTTTTGTACTTGTAGGCACCTAATAAATATTTGCTAAATCGAATTGACTGGATTAGCTTCTGTTATTTGATAGAAGAAAGAATCTAGAGTGCCATCTGTCTTGAATTTTAGCTTTGGCTCATCACAACCGCACTCAGTTTATGGAGACTTAGAATGTAATCTGTGGAAGATGGAGCTATCAGTGTGGTGGCTACAGACTTAAAGCTGAAGAGGCCTTTCTCATGGAATTGTAACCAGTTTTACTTCTCAGATATAATGTGATACCAATCTTGGCAGAGGTTTTATTTTGTCAAATACTGACATTAGGGATAGCGGTGGTTGCTGTGTGTCATTGGGTTGCCCACCCTATGTACAGCACCTCTGAAACCTGCCCTATCCTGAACGACTATCACTGACACTGACGCACCTGCCCACATTACTCTAGTCACTATATCAGTCCATCTCATCTGGGGACTTGCTTTCGTATGCTGTCCCTCCACTCTTCTGAGCATGATGTCCTTCTCCAAGGAGCCATCCCGACTGGCCACATGCCCAAAGTATATGAGATGGAGCTTCAAAATCCTAGCCTCCAAGGAGAAACGTGGTTTCACCCTCTCCAAGACAGACTTATTCTGGTAGTCCATTAAGTTCAAGACTCTTCGAACACCACAGCTCAGAGGCATTTTGATTCTTCTGTCATCCTTAGTCGTTGTCCAGCTCTCTGATGCATTGCAGTAATTAACCATAGGAATGGTTACTGGGTTACAAAAAGTTCATCCTAATTAAAATTTCTGAAAAGCCATACACACTCCCCAAATCTTTTTTTAGTGCCTCGAGACCTTCTTGCTCACAACTGTATGAAGCAATGGTCAACACATAGGCTTGCAGTGCTTTGTTAAGTGCAATGGAGTCAGAATTGCTGGCCCTCTAGCAGGTTTTTCAGTGGCCTTTCCCCCACAAAGGAGCTGGTAGATTCGGAGCTCGCCTGTCTTTCTCCCACAAAGCGGCTGGTAGATTCGGATTGCCCTACCACTAGACCACTAGTTGTTTAACTGTTTTAAAATCGTTAAGTTACTAATGTGACAAGAATGGAATGGATGTTCTCCCTGTCATCCTCTTGACTTGGTTAATTTTTGTCTCTCTCACTGCCCATTTGTTTAATTAAGTACCTATGTTTTACGCCACTGCTCGATAAGGTGCTTTGATAATGTGTGTGTAGCATGTTGTACTGCGAACAAAAAGGTTACAGTTCAAATCCACTAACTTGTCTGTGGGGAAAAAAGATGGGCAGCTTCCTATAAAGACTTAGAGCCTGAGAAACTCCATCATGGGTCACCAAGAGTCAGAAGCTACTCATCAGCAATGGGGTTTTTGGACGAGGCGTGCTCAGGTTTATGAAGTGCAAGGCAGGTGTCACCCTGCTCACACAATTTACACACCGGGCAGGGAGTTGATAGCGCCACAGAAATTAAGCACTGGGGCAGATCCACTTAGGATTCCTGAGGATCTCAAGCAACACTCAAGGTTAATTGTTAAAGGGACTCGGAGTAACTTGGAAATTTCTAACAAAGTTCAATGCTACTTTAAGTCATTTTCTCAAAGATGGAGATGAGTGAATTTTTGTAAAGTAAAAGTAATTAAGACAAGGAGAGGTTGCAACAATGGGCTGAAGCAATGATTGTGAGGATGGTGTAGGACCCAGCAGTGTTCTGTTGTACATAGAGTTGCTGTGAGCTGGAATCCACTCAGGAACACCTCACAACAAAAGAACCTTATTGTCAGCACCTCAGAGAAGTTATTCTATGCCCCCCTCCCTTTACTGAGATGGCTACAGAGAAATAAGATCAATCTGAGGCAAAATTTTGTTTCACGTTCGTAGTTGAAAGATTTTAATTGTGTCGAGCAAATCTATGATTTGGAAGTTAAGGACTCCCTTTATTCAAACCTGTGAAACAGAAAAATAGACGAAGTTCCCGTCAAACCAATTTTAACTCACAGTGAAATGCAAGAGGGCACATACTCCGTTTGTAAGCACAAAGCAACCAGACAGGTGGTGGTCCCAGATAAACCTCCTTGTACCTGTGAATAGTCTCTCTTCCAGAGCAGAAAAGAAGAACATTTACTTAAGGTTTCTTACCTTGCAACTCAGGTTGGGGCCTGCAGTTCCTCTCTGAGTCCCTCCCACCACACTGTTAGGAAGTGGCTACTGAGATACTCATGAACATACTCTGCAAAGCAAGGGCCATCCAAGGGAGCAATCCTGAAAGTGGAATTTAGTCCAACTGCCTTACCTCACCTGCGTGCTTAAGCACACGTTAACGATTATGATGCAGGAATCCTAAACAATGAAGTCATGGTGAGCATGTCATCTTGGTGTTCTATCATGATGAAATTTGCCCAAGGAATTTAAATTCCATTTGCCTAAAGAATTCAAATTATAAAAGGCCTCAAAGAACTCGTGGCAGGAGAAGCTCAGGTAGGTCTTTGCAATTGCAATGAGTTTGAGCCCATTCTCCCGGGGGACCATCAGTCCTCTACAAGCAGGGAGTTTGCACATTGGCAGCTGCAGCTCAGAGTAATTACTCCTGCTGTGTATACACAGTTCACATTAGAGCAGACAGTTTGCCTGTCTGGGCCCAGTGCTATGTTGACGCCTATAGGATAAACACCTCTTTTCAGAGATTTTTAATTTCATTGAACTAACAATAAAAAGTTGAATTGAGGGCTAGAAATGTTACCACACATGGGGGTTTTTCACTCCATTTTTCCCTCCCTTTTCCTGTTAAAATACAACAGAAATGTGGTAAGGAAATGCCTGACTTATGGCTCTGAGACTTGAGAGGGGCTTTCAACACCCATGAAGGGTTTGTTCCCTTTAAAATAGTGTGATCCCAGGGGACGGGGGTCGGTGAGTGGGAGATTGTTTCAAAAACCTGT